CCTTAAGTACATAAATAAGTGAAATTCCTCAGGCCCCTAAATTCAAGTGCCATATCACTAACCATTCACATGGAATATGTATGTGTTCATTTCCTATTTTTACTACTTTAGAAACATCTTATATCAGCCTTATGTTTTCTAGATCGTGCACTATTGTTTCTGTTTTTGGAGAACTAACAAATCAAATTAATGCAAGGTAGCTAGATGATGAAAAATCAAAGAAAAGTAAATGATAGCGTTCTTAACTATCCTGTGGTCTATCCTAAAAAGATGTGGGAAGGAGGGTCAGTTTAATCAGGGTAGTGGGTGTTCACGTTTCAGTGACAGCTGAAGAAACCGTGCTGCTGACGGTTATCCCTGTTAGCACCGACAGCTGAGTGCAAGTGAGAAAGGAAGTTGATATTTTAAGAACATTATTATTTAGCTGAAACTTTTAAGAATACAGTTTTCAATTTTTAAATGAAACTCGATTTCAGTAATAAAATTTTAAGGCAGGAAGCATCTTAAATGTTATTCTGGTTCAGTTTCTTTATTTCAAATACAAAGACATGAGTTAAATGTCTAGAACTTAGAAGAAGGAGGTGTTTGTGTTAGAAAATAATCTTTTTTTCATCTTTTCTCCCAGTCATAAATAACATTCTCTTCACTGTAGTTTCCTTTTGGCATAATTTTGGCACTTTTTGAAGTGGTTTTTTGTTATTGAGCATATAAAATTAAACTATCTAACAAAGATACATCAAAATGAAGTAAAAGATGTATTTGGCAGAAAACTACCAACCACCTATTATTTCCCCAAAGATTTTAGGGTAGAAGGGGGAAATGTTTCAAAAGAATGACTCATTCTTGGAACTGAAATCAAGAGAATGTGCTCCTGGTCCTGGCTTGGCGCCCGCGGGCTGTGTGGCCTCTAAGTTGGTCCTGTCCTGAGCCATCTGTGACTGTGGGCCAGCCCCGCCCGCAGAGCTGCCCGTCCTGCCCCCTGCCCCGGGCTGTGAGACCGCCTTCATACTGTTTCTCCTCGGCAGAGCTCCCTCCCTCTGTCTTCACTGACGTTAGTGTGTTGTTTCTTAAAATTAGGTATTGATCCAGTTATAAAAATGACAGTTTAATGCAGTTATACATTTTATTGAAGCCTGTGTGATCTAACTTGTAAGATTTGAGGAGAATTCCTAGTGTGCATCTTGAATGAGAAAAGAAAAGTTTAAACAAGCGAAAGTTAAAAGGAAAAAGCACATCACCCTTTTCTTTCTCATCTCGACATGAGAGAGCAGACTGGTCTGGCCTGTGTTCCTTTGTCCCAGCCCCGTCTGTCCTACACAGACGTGCCTACGCAGTCCCCTCAGACTGCAGGTTTCTCCCCAGGTCGCAGCTCCTTCCTTCCCAGGTGGCCTTGGAGAGCACTTTCCCGGGGTGGCTGGCTCGTGCTCAGGCCACATGGGAGCCAGGCCGTCAGGCTGAGAGCCTTTGCCGTTGATGCCAGCCCTGTCTTCGCAGTCACCTTTGCACTGCTCTCGCCCTTCGGGGGTTGGACTGTGTCTAGCCCCTCAGATTCACACATGCTCCCTTGTACCCTTCAGAAAGTAGTGGGCCTTCCTGGGTAACAGATGACAGTTTGCAGGACTGAGCAGGGAAGTGAGAGGGGGAGGGGGTGTCGCTTTGTCCTCCAGTAGACTTGGAGTGAATGGTGATTGGGTATCTGTATGTGTGTAGGGATACACTGTAAAATTATGAAACCACATTGCGGAAGTTTGGGGGAGAGACTGCCCATAATTCCACCGCCAAACACAATCGCCCCTATCATTTTTGATAATTTACTTTTAGCCTGTTTTTCTTTTACATTTTAAACAACTGTAATCATGTTACACTTAGAATGTATAATTTTTCAGTTAATATCGTGGTTTTTTCTGTCCTTGTTTTTATAATCATGGTCTGTAACAGCTGTAAAATTGAGAGCATGCTTAAGCATCTTCTAAGCCTGATTAACATCTCATAGCCCTGGCCCCACATTGGTCCCTGTCGCTACCCACATCTGCTACAGACAGTCACTCCACTGGTGCCCTCGTGCCTGTGCCTACCTTCAGAGCCCCATGTGACCATGGGTGTTTGCGGGGCGGGTTGCGTGGAGAGAGCTCCACTGAGTGAAGCAGCGGAACTGCCACACTGCGTCCTTGGTGCCGAGCTGCCTGCAGATTGGTGACAGCACCGTCTCAGGAGCTGACACAAAGCACCATGCTGGTCCGTCTGACGAGTTTGAAGAGGTCCCACAACATGTCAGTTCAAAATGCCTCTTCTATTTGAAAACAGTCGAGTAACTTCATCTGCTTTTCACATTTTCCTGTCCAGATATGAGTCACTTCCCACTGTCAGTCCAGATTGGGTGTTTTTCTTTTTGCTTTTTTTCGTAAATCATAATATTATTCAGTCCTGGAACATTTAGGTCCACGTTAGTGTTCTGTGGCCAGGGAAAATGCAGAAGTAGAAGATCTGGATTAGAGTGACGTTATCGTGGGTAAGTTTTAAGAAATACTAGTTGGGAAAACATAGACACTGTTTATTTGCTGACAATCTGACTGAGGAAGTCAGACGGGAATAGTGAGTAGTTTCCGAGTGAAAATAGGGAGGTTTGCAGCCTCTAAATGTAGTGTTCTGCTTTGTTTTGCCAGGAAGGAAGCAAACATTTTTTTAGATTAATTCCTTCCTGTGAGGTGTTATTTTAAGCTTAAAATACCCTAAGCCGAGTGGGCTCTTGTATCTCCCAAGATGCCCCTTGACCATGGTGCATCTTTACCAGATTCGAGGGGCTCATGAGAGGCTCCCTTAGCGGGTAAAGGGCCTTTCCCCGACACACCATAATCTCAGTGGGGGCGAAGACCCATCCTTCCTGTTCCCCCAAGATCCCCGGCCCAAGAACGTGGCCTGGTCCCCAGCAGGAACTTGATGAGACACGTTGGTGAATGAACGATTGTTGGTTTAGAGCAGGGCTCCTCAAATGTTTCTGCAAAGATCCAGAGAGGGAATCTCTCTGGCTTTGGGAGGCAAGCAGTGTCTGGCGCAGCTGCTCAGCTCTGCTGTTGTGGGTGGGAAGCAGCCATGATGATATGTAAACAAATGGCGTGGCCGTCTGCCAGTAAAACCATTTACACAGACAGGCAGAGGGCAGCCTGTAGGTTGGTAGCCCCTGGCTTAGAACAGTAGAACCCTTGGTGATGACTGAATGTTCTGTGTCTGTGCTGTATAGTGTGGTAGCCACTAGCCACATGTGGCCTTTGAGCACTTAGAATGAGGTTAGTGCAACTGAGGAATTAGCTTCTCAGTTTTGTTCAGTCGTAATTAATACAAATGTAAAGGGTCATATGTGGTTCGAGGCTACAGTATTGGGTGGCACAGTGTTAGTACCTTCCCCAGAGCATGCTGACGGAGCAGTTCATTGTTGTCTGGGGTGTGCATACACGTTAGGGGAAGAAAGAGCTCTGTGGCTAAAAAAATTATGAAATTGTTGCTAATAACATTGCAGGACTTCTCAGAGCCTTTAATATGCTCATGTGCATGGACAGTTTATAAGAAGGAGTTTCTCAGATTTTTCCTGTAAATTTTTTGACCATGAAACTTTTAGAGGATGGCCCTGGACATCTTGCAGTACTGGTGTTCTTTGGAGAAAACTTTGGAAAACATTGGTGTGGCAGACCGGGAGATTGGGTGTCTGTGAGAAGTGTAACATCATAGTTTTGATAAGTTATGTTGAGTGTTTTGTAAGACAGTTAGGTTTTAAAGATCTGTGGAAATCCCATAGTACACTGCCACATGACCTCTAGAAATAGTGAAAAATAATAGAGGGAGGTGTACATAATGTTCACATACTGAAGCCTTCCTCATTTGTTATGGTCTTTCCTAGTTACCTGTAAAAGATGGATCATTTGATTGTTCATGCCTGCAAAAATATATAAGCTTGAACAATCGGTTATATTAGTACTTGAGGAACATTTGTGTTTGAATCAGAAATAGGACATACATACCTTACTGTGGTTTGAGATTTGGGACACTACGTCATGTTTGATAAGTGGCTGTTGCTGTTGGTTGGTGGGTTTTTTGCTCAATTTCAGGCATACATCATTATATTTCAATTTCTGTGTAGATTACGTCATGTTCACCACCCAAAGACTAATTACCATCCATCACCACACACGTGTCCAGTCACCCCTTTCACCCTCTTCCTTCCTTTGAGAAGTGATGATTTTATCTTCAACAAATATTTGTGCTCAAATATTTGCATCTTACATACCTAATGTGTATCTTAGAACTTAAGTTTAAGCACTTAAAAACTTAATTGTATCATTTTATTTTTGAAGAGAAAAAAAGATGTGCCCATGTATGTGCAAAGGGAGGTATGCAGAGAGAGGGCTGGAGAGCTCTCTGGTGACAGGTGTCCGTTATGTCTTTGTCCGTCTGTGCGGCTGCCGTCTCTGACGGTCCTAGTCGTGGTCTTTCGAGGCAGCGTTAGGAATTTCATAGTTTGTTCTGTGACTGCCGCCCGGGTCACCCCCAGCCTGGCCCTGTCACAGAAAGACAAAACCGCGCCTGTTGAGAAGGAGATCCAGATGCGAGACTGGGCCCGGGTGTCCGACAGTCCCAGTGCAGGCGCTGGGTGTAGCTGTGCGGAAGCCGGAGCACAGCATAGCCAGTGTGTTGTCATTGTCTCCACTCTTAGGCATTCGGATACACTTGTGTTCTCTTTTCCAGCACTGTTCTCTTTTCTGTGATTTCTTTTTACTCTGTGCCCATTTTTCTGTTTTACTTTTAACTTCACCTCCGTTCTGGAGCTTCGTGGCTTCTTGCCTTCCCCTTCAGTTCCCATTCCGGGCAAGCACACCGCAGAGGAGACCGAGCGGCGCTGGGCACTGAAGGCCTTGTTTTGAAAATTGCTGAAACGTCAGATGCTGACTAATCATGTGTACCTCAAGGTTTTATTTCATTTTTGTAATTTTTTTTTTTTTACTTTACAGTGAGTGTTGAAAAGATAGACCTGAAGGGATTATCACACAAAAAAAATGAAAGAAATGTTGAATGTTCCTTTGAGGTAAGATGCTAAAGTTTTTTTCCCCTTTTCTCCCCTGAGGGATAGGAAGGAAACATTTACCATGAATAGATACTTTTATTTCTCTGAATAAAATGTGGGCATTTTTGCAAAGCCCTGTGCCAGTGCTCTGAGAGCTGGAAAGCTGGGACCAGGCCTCGGGGGTGGGCCGTCTCCAGCTCGGGGCCAGCTGGGCTTCCTCCTGTGGGACTGCTCACCCCTCACCTCAGCAGCCTCCAGGACGGGGAGGGTCCTGGGCTCTGGGACAGCCTGCGGTTAACAGTCCAGTTCCAGCCCTGTCAACCGTGTGACCAAGGACAATGCGGAACTTCTCAGTGCCCCAAACCTTCATCCAGTAAAGGAGGATGGGTTAAATAGAATTAAATGAGATAGCCAATCCACAGGACGCAGCGTAGGATCTGGGTGTAATGGGTGCCTGCAGACACGAGCTTTCCTCTGTACCCGCTAGATGACAAAAGCGCCTTGGTCTGTATGGTGAACGTCCCCTAGGTTGACATGCTCAGCCGCTCCTAGTTGGTCACCAAAGTTGGCTAAAGTAGAGAATCGTGAAAATTGAGATATACCTACTGTAACAGTGGCTTAAACAACAATTTCAGAGTATACAGGGATGGGGCTGGTATGGCATCTGTGCTCCATAAAATACTTAGAAGTCCAGGCTCTCTCCAGTTGACTGCTTTGACATCCCTAGGAGGTGGTCATGGTCCAAAATGGTAGCTAGGGCTCCAGTCCTCACATTTTATTCCACCCAGCAAGACACAGGATGAAGAGGAGGGGAAAAGGTTACTTTTATCTTTCTTTTAAGGAACATTCCTGAAAGCAGCCACTAAACATTTCCGCTTATGTTTTATTGACCAGAACTTAGTTTCCTGGTTCCACTTAGCTGCAAAAGAGGCTGGGAATGTGTTTTGGCTGGCTGTGTCCCCAAGGTTCTGTTACTTGCCTGTCATGTTGTGTGAGATTCTCCCTTGACCACATGCATTGTTGAATACTGATTGATAAGGAAAGTTCTCAGGAATAAAAGCTTCTGGTTATTATCTAGTGTGTATAGTATGTGCAGGTTTATTAACTTTTCAAAGCATGTAGCTGCATCAGAATACTTTGACTACCAAAAGGATAACATCTTCCTTTGATACGGGAGGTGCTGCGTCGTGAGAATCAACTATTACGCTATGGATGGGTTTTTTCAAGATGTATGAGAAAGACTTACATTAGGTTTTGGAGGTTGTTAAGCTTGTGACCAGCACCCAAGTCTCAGCAGCCAGAGGATCTGGGAATCCCACCATCTTCAAGGCCTAGTAGGGGTTGGAGAGCCCAGCAAGTCCCTGGAACGGCAGGCCTGTTGTGTCCTCTCCACCACTCTGCCCGCACGTGCGTGCCCAGCTGTCAGGTCTGCCCTGAGGGGCAGATGGTGGTCGTTTTCCGCCTCCATGGGGACTGCCTGTTGGGAAACAGCTGAGCGTCGAGCCATTCTAGGGTGGTTGGCCCCTCTCACAGCCTGTCTGATCACACTGGGCTTTGATTCAGCCCCGGTCTTAAGTCCCGTTCCTTGTGGCGAGGGAATCGGGCTTGTGTTGCGTGAGATGTGGCAACTGTATGCAACATGGCTGTCTGCAGCTTCTCTCTAAAGAAATGAGCTTTGGCAGAACAGACACCTGGCCTCTCACGGCCTCTCCCTGGAGGAGGGAGTTGTGATCAGGACGGGAGAGGCAGCAGGCTGACGGGGACAGGGACATGGTGCCCTGAGTCCTCCGAAAGCAAGCTGGACAACTCCAGCAGCAGCCTGGAGCTGTCGGCCTGCAGGCTGGCCACATCTCTGAGGTCGCTGCACTCCACTAGGGGCTGCAGCTTGAGGTCGGCACTGACAGCTGTCCCCGCGGGTTAGGGGTTGAGTTTGAGATGTTGCTGCCCCACATGGTTAAGCTGAAGTGTGCTAGTACTTAGAGAAGAAGCTTCAGCTATCTGAAAAGCTTACTTTTCCTGCTATGAGAACTGATGTAAGTATTTTATTTAGGAAAGTGATAATCCTTCACTACCCAGCAGTCCAACTAGTTTTTCTTTTGGGTTACCGACTTGATAGGCCCTAAGAGTTTACACCCAAAGTACATTGGATGCTAAGTCAAGGCGCAAAGGAATGATACAATCAGCAATTTTAAACGTCAGTCTTATTATTTACAACACACACTGTTGATTTGTGTGGCGTAAACCGTGTGCTTGTTGTGGGCTGGCGAGCCATCCTCTTCTCCGTCTGTGTAAGTGTGTGCTTGTTGTGGGCTGGCGAGCTGTCCTCTTCTCCGTCTGTGTAAGTGTGTGCTTGTTGTGGGCTGGCGAGCTGTCCTCTTCTCCGTCTGTGTAAGTGTGTGCTTGGAGGATACTGATCTGTGTTACTCATGTGCTCAGAATCGAGACTGCTATCACGGAAGACAAGTGACACCACCTTCTGGTTACGTAGCTTCCGGCGTTTCATCTCACTCACTCTGGCTCGCTGTCTCACATACTCCAGTTCTGTAAAGAGGGAGAGCTGACGGGCAGCATGAGGAGAGGATGACTTCACATCTAAAGGTCTTTAAACTTAGGAACTTTTCATCATCTTAAATGGCTCCCTCCTCAAAAATAAGTCCCAGTAGGATTTTTCTCTTTTAAAAATCAACAGGTTGATTCTAAAATGTATACAGAAAGACCTATAGAGTAGTCAAACAATTTTGAAAAGAAGAAAAAAGTTGGAAGACTCACACTACCTCGTAACAAGACTTACTATGAAACGACAGGAACACAGACTCTGGCATTGCTGAAAGGGTAGAGGCACCCGTCAGTGGCATGGAACAGAATCCAGAATTAGACTCACATGTCAACGGTCAGTTGATTTTTGACAAAGGTACAAAAGCAGTTCAATGAAGAACGGATGGTCTTTTCAACAAATGGTTCTGGAACAGACGTCTATATGCAGAAAAATGAATCTTGACCAAACCTCACCTCTTCTATAGAAATTAACTTAAAAGTTGATCATAGACATAAATGTAAAATGTAAAACTATAAAACTTCTAGGAGAAAGCATAGGAGGAAACTTTGTGACTTAAACTAGGCAAAAATTTCTTAGATACAATACTGAAAACATTTATTAAAGACAAAATAAATTACACTTCATCAGAATTTCAATCTTGCTCTTCAAAAGGCACTGTTAAGAAAATGATCAAACAGGGAGAGAGTGATGTCAGCATCATGGTGGAGTGAGTTGTTCCCTCAGTCTCTCCCCTTTAAATTACAACAAAATGGACATTCATTAACCAGCAGAGGACTCCCTTCCCAGCACGACAGGACTGCCGAGAGATCCAAGCAACTATACATCTGAAGGCAGGTGGACTGGATCCCTGGGAGACAGTGGATCTAAGTAAGTGCACCCTCTCCCCTACCCCTACCCCTGGCAGCAAGCCAGTTTACAGATCCTCACACAGCAGCCGTGTGCGACTGTAAGAGGAGGCAGGGACAGCCTGGTCTGCCTGAATACATTCAAAGTTGCAGCTTGGCCCCCGGGAGCGCCCAGCGTGCTGTGGCAGCCCTGCCCATGGGAACACTCTACACCAAGTGGTGGCTCAGCCACCAAGTGAGTGCCCGTATCCCCTACTACAGCTCGGTTGAGAAGATAACCTGCCTGCTCAGAAGGAGCCCCTGCCTGTAGAGCACAGCAGCCCACGGGACCCACCAGTGGCAGCTCATCCCCTGCTTAGGTGCCCCTCCTTCTTAGCATACAGCAGCTCAGCCTGTCCCCTGCCAAGCACAGGGGTCCTGCCTGTGGTGCGCAACCGGCCTTCCCAGCACAGCGGCCATTCTGAGGTGAGTGCAACCAGCACAGTGGTTGCAGCCAGCCCAGGTGAATGCAGAGTAGCCCACCCACCCAGCTTCCAGCAGGCGGGCTGGATCAGAACACACAGCTCCTGCTCCCCCCCAGCGGTGGCAGGTGGGGTCTGATACTACCACAGACGTGCTGCAGAAGATCGCTGCATCCAACGCCATGAAGAACTGCGTTAACACTTCAGAGCAGAAGGAAAGTGACAAGTCTCCAGAAACCAGTCCTGAAGCCACAGAAATTTACAATCTAAGTGACAGAGATTCAAAGTAGTGTCAGAAACTCGAGTTACAAGAAAACTCAAAAAGACAGTTTGATGAGGTCAGGAATAAAATTAATGAGCAGAAGGAACAGTTCACCAAAGAGATTGAAACTCTTAAAAAAAAGCAAACAAATTCTGGATATGAAGAACACAATTAATGAGATAAAAAATAATCTAGAATCCATGAAAAATAGAGCTGACATCTTCAAGGACAGAATTAGTGATTTAGAGGATAGAAATATATGAAATGCTTCAGGTGGAGGAGGAGAGAGAACTAAGATGTTTTTAAAAATGAAGAAATTCTTCAATAAATATCCAACTTAGGAAAAGCAACATAAGGAGTATAGGTATTCCAGAGGGAGAAGAAAGGGAGAAAGGAGCAGAGAGCTGGTTCAAACAAATAATAGCTGAGACCTTCCCAAACCTGGGGAAGGAACTGGACTGACAAGTACATGAGCCAGTAGAACCCCTAATTACATCAATGCAAAAAGACCTTCTCCAAGGCGTATACCATTAAAACTGCCAAAAGTCAATGACAGATATTAAAGGCAGCAAGGCAGAAGATAATAACCTACAGGGGAACCCCCATCAGGCTTGCAGCAGATTTCTCAGCAGAAACCTTGCAGGCTAGGAGAAGGTGGAATGATATATTCAAAATACTGAAAGACAGAAACTTTCAGCCAAGAGTACTCTATCCAGTGAAACTATCCTTCAGATATGATGGAGAAATAAACGCTTTCCCAGATAAACAAAAGCTGAGGGAGTTCATTGCCACTAGAACTGCCTGACAAGAGATGATGAAGGAAGCCCTTCTACCTGTAGCAAAAAAGCAAAGCTTTACAAAACCTTGAGCAGGGAGAATAAATAGGCAGAATCAGA